CTTGGCCTCAAGCCCCTGGGTCAGAACTCAGCGGACTCAGCGTCCAGAGGCGGGCTCGGCCTCTGAGGCCGTTTTCTTGACAGTGGTGAGAAGCTGAGGAGGAGGCGCTGTCCGCCGGGTCTCAGCCCTGAGCTGCTGGAGGGCAAGCCAGGCCAGCCTTGGCGTCGGGGTGCTTCCCAGCTGTCCCCCGGAGAGCAGCGGCGAGCAGGGATGGGGCCGGGCAAGGGTCAGGAGGGATAGGGTTAGGTTCCTGGGCATGCTCGTCCCAGGAACACCCGACAAGCTCCGCTGCCCTGTGCCAGCTCGGAGACAAGACATGAACCGAGGCCAGACGTCCTCAGAGGTCAGGCCAGCCCCGGGGCGGCCATCGCTCCCGGCCGGCTCAACGGCTCCCGGCCTGACCCTCGGGAAGCTGGAGCCCACTCCGTCCCGGAGCCGCTCTGGGCCGCGTTCAGATGCAGCCGCGGCCACAGGCAGGTTGGATGGATTTTCAAGGCAAAGAGCAGCCCCGCAGCTGGCTGTGGGCACAGCGAGCTGAGCGAGGACAGCTCTGGGTCTGGGCCGGGCGACCGGCTGGGCCGCGGTCTGGCTGGGGGCGAGCGCGGGGCTGGAGTCCGGAGGTGGGGGCGGGTGGGCATTCCCACCTCAGCTCTGCCATGGGGTACCTGCGAGAGAGCCCCTGGACATGCTGCCTGCTGTCAACCCCCGCCACCCCACCCACAGGGGCCCGGCGACCTCTCTCCCATCAACTGTGAGCTGGGACATGACTGTCAAGTGTTGGGCAGCGGGCCTGACCCCAGGGAGCGCTCCAGCCACTTCACACGAATCACACAGTCGCTCCCCATGCCACCCAGCTGGAAGGGAGGCAGAGGGGGAGGAGCCGGAGACATGGCTGGTTGGCATCAGGAGAGACTGGGGAGACCCGACACGGGCATCAGAACAGTCACAGCCAATCTCACGCGCCCCTGAGTCAGACCGGCCTGGTCCGCGCGGCCGCCGTCAGCGCTGGCTCCCCGGGCACGCTGCTGGGCGACCCTCCTGGGCTGTCTCCTCTGTCTGCTGGGAGGGACTGTGGTCTCCCTCCCAGAGCTGCTGGGGAGGCTGGGTGGCAGGAGGTCACCTTGGATAGATGTTCCCGGCACCTGCGTCCCATCAGAGGTGTGTCAGCTGGTCCCAGGTCCCCAGCGGAGAGGGTGGGCCGCGGGCTTCCTCTTCCCCGCTGGACCCGCTTCCTCCCGCGTCGCACCGCTGGGCCTGAGACAAGCACGGAGATTCGGGAGTGGTACAGGCCCTGTCCGGGGAGCGCGTCCTCCCTCCCTCGGGATGGCGGGTGAGCTGCGCTCTACTGGATGGCAGGCTCTTGAGTCTGCTGGCCCAGCTCGAGGACTGGGCTGGAGGGTCTGCGTGCACAGCCTGTGTCCGGAGAGGGCATTAGCGCACAGCAGGGTGCGCACTGGGCGGCCAGCAGGGCCTACTCCTGTGCACCACTGACATTCCTAGGAGAGAAACAACCCCAGCACCTACTTCCTTACCTGGGCACTCCATGCCATCCTGGCATCCCTGGGCTCCAGAGGGTGACAACAGACAGGCGTGAAGGGCTTTGAAAGTAGAGGCCCCTGGGAGCTTGGGTGGAGACCCTGGCGAGGCTGTGTCCCAGGATGGCTGGGTGCTCCAGGTGGGGTGAGCCATTGCCACCTGTAAGGGGCGGGCCTCCACCTCTGCCATCACCTTTCTGCCGGCCGGTCTGCAGGAGGCCCGTCTCCTCTCCAGAACCGCAGATGTGCGCCAAGCTTACCTCTCGGCACTTGTTCAGGTTCCTCCTCCTGGAACAGCAGCTCCTCAGCCCTCCACTGGCAGAAATCCAGAATCCTCCAGATCCTCTAAGACATGGGCTTTCTGTGCCACCCAGAGCGTTCTTTTGGGGGCAGTGGTGATATTCTGGGTTTTGTTCTGCATATTATCTTATCTATGTCTGTCCGTCCACCCATCCATCATCTGTCTGTCCATCTGTCTATTTTCCATCAAGCTCACTGGGAACATGTGTATGCATGTGTGTTCAAGCACATATATGTGATAAACGCAATAGAAAGAACACGGTTTCAATGTCCAGTGGATGTGGATCCCAATTCCTGAGGACTCCGCCTTCTTAGTCCACTCTACCCTAGCGACTGATGCCTGCCAGGACTGACCTTGAGAAAAGTATGGACTTTTCTGGGTCTGAGCTCTTCATCCGCCAAAGCGGAAGAGAATCAGCCCCTGAGGGGTGCAGCAAGGATTCCCAATGACGCGAGCACGCCTGCCTCTACGTGCAGCTGCATTCAGCCACCCGCAGGGATGAGGCTCAGTTCTGCTTTTGAGCTCTCCCCAGGGCCTGGGCTACAGCACTTAGTGACTCATGCAAACGGTGCCCTGAACTGGCCATCCCTGCCTCCCTCAGAGAAGCCTGTGTGCGGAGGCGGCCCAGCGCTGCCCCCTGCTGGGCAATCCAGGCCCCAGCGCCTCAACATCCCAGCTGGAGTGGGTGGGATTCTGGAGTCTGTTCATGAGGAACAGTGGGGACCTGGATCAAGACATCACCTTTCCTTTGTGACCTCATCACTGGTGTTTGGGAAGGTGATGGAGCCTGACTCCTGGGAGGCCCAGCCTGGCTCAAGCCTCGGGGCCTGAGGGCCTGTCACCAGGAGGCCAGCCCTCCGCCAGCCTCCGGGAGCAGGACATAGCACCCAGCCACCAGCAAACAGCATCTGTTCTCTAGGAAACTCACTGAAAATATGACGAGCATTGTTCTGGCATCTTAACCTTTAACCTTTCGACATTGCCTTTCAAAATCCGGAAGGCAAATGATCTTCAAAATGGCGTGAGCGTGTGGGCCTGTGGGTGTGTGCACGCGTACGCTTGCTGACGGGTCATTGGCTGTTGGATCCCGTTATCTGGTCTCCAACATCATTTGATGTGGCCAAGTCGAGATCCTTGAGGTGCTGTCATGTTCCCGACCAAGCACACGGACTTGGGGGACCAGCATGTCCAGGGCATGCCCCAGGGGTCAATCTAAGGTGGCTTCATCCCTCTCCAGTGCTGCCACGTAACTTCGGAACCTCAGTCCAGCTGCCCACATGCTGTCGCTGGAGCTGAGCTGGGGACGAGGCCTGAGCTCTGGCCCCACCGTGCACACGGGCCCCTCAGGGAGCTGTGGGTGGGCCTACTCTAGGCCACAGGGCCGGCCAAGCCGCTGCCTTCCCCAGGGAGCCCCAGAGCTCTGTGGGAGGCTGACTCTTCCGCAAACAGTTCTGACAGAGGCCTGGGAGGCCTGCCCAAGGGGGGCGGAGCCCGAGCAGGCGGGAAAGCCTCCCCGGCCCTCAGAGGCCTCGCTTCACCGGCACCTGCTACGCACCTGCTTCACCGAGAAGGGAGATGGTTAAGGGAGACGAGGGAGCGTCTGCTTTGGCTTAGCTTGTGGGGTGGAGGCGCGCAGTGCCCAACACTGGCCACACCATGAGGCTGGGGTGGGGTGGGGGGTGGGTGTGTGCTCAGCCCAGGGGCCTGGGACTGCTGGCTTGGGGCATGCGGTCGCAACAGGAGGAGACTTCTCAGGGTGAGGGGGTGCAGGGGCTGAGAGCCCTGGCCTGTGGCCAGTCCACACCCCTGCCCCAAGGGGTCTTGGGGAGAGCCAAGGCCCTTCACACTTTCCTGAGGGGAAGCTGAGACCCCCTAGGCTGAGAGCCCGGGGTCTCCACCAAGCCACCATCTTCCCCTTCTCTGAAGAGCTCTCTGGCCCGTTGTTTCACTCAGGTCTCTCCTAGATGGCAGCTTGCCGCCTCCAGCCCCAGGGCAGAGGGTGTGCAGGCTGAGAGGACCCCAGGGGGCAGGGGTGGGGGCCAGTGTGTGTGGGTGAGGCTGGCTGTGGACAGGCTCCGGGCTGTGAGTCCTCGACCCACAATGTCCGGGGCTCACAGGGAGTCTCAGGCTCCCGCCCGGCAGGACTGGGGGGCTGTCTGCGCGCAGGTGGATGGGTGAGGGAGGGGGCACCATGCACCAAGTGCCTCCTGGGCTCTGCAGCTGCCCCGCTGCAGGCGGGGGGTGGACACAGCTCCTGCAGGAGGAGGAGATGCAGGTTCCTTCCCTGGGAGAAAAGGAGCCGCCCCCCACCCCAAAGAGGGAGGAGCAGCAGCCCCGGGGAGCTCCCTGGGGAGCGGAGGTCGCCTTGTGTCAAAGTCCAGGCAGGCCGGCACTCAGGCTGGACAGGTGGTGCGAGGCCGGAGGGCCTGGGCATCCCTCCCTGCCCTCAAAGAATTCCTGGGCTCAGCCCCGCGGCTTCCACACACTTGGAGGGGGGGTGGGTGGGGAGCTGCAAGGAGCCAATCACCCTGCACCGGAGCCTTCAGGGCTGGCTCTCCTGTGCGTGTGTGTGCGTGTGTGCGTGCGTGTGTGTGTGTGTGTGTGCGCGTGTGTGTGCATCAGCAGGGATTTCTGTGATAGCAGCAGCCAGATTCCGGAGAGAAGAGGAGGGGGAACAAGAGGGAGGAGAAAATTGGGGGTGGGAGAGACAGACGGAGAGACGAGAACAGCAGTGGGAGAGAAGCGCAGGAGAGCGAGGCCGCGAGGGGAGCGGGGAGAGGGGGAGAGAGGCAGCGAGGGCGAGGTGGAGGGAGAGCTCGGAGCAGAGGGAGAGCGGCGAGGCAGAGCGCGCGGCAGGGGCGCGGCGCACCAGCCGGCGCTGAGGGATGGGGTGAGGCGGGCGGCCGGGACCGCGCGGGGGCCGCGGGCGCCTGCACACCGGGCTCTGGGCGCGCTCGGAGCTGCTCCCGGCGGCACCTGCCCGGGAGGTGGCGCGGGCTCGGGGCGGCCGCGCGCCCAGGTGCCGGCTCGGACGGCGGCGCGGGGCACCGGCGCGGCCGCGCGCCCTCCGGGAGCCATGGCGGCGGGGGCCGGGGCGCTCCGGGCGGCGGCGCCGCCGAGGGGCTGAGCGCGCGGCGGGCTGCGCCATGGCGGCGCCGGCTGGGGCGCCCTGAGCGCCGGGGCGGGCGCGCACCATGAACTCGTGGGACGCGGGCCTGGCGGGGCTGCTGGTGGGCACGATGGGCGTCTCGCTGCTGTCCAACGCGCTGGTGCTGCTCTGCCTCCTGCACAGCGCCGACATCCGCCGCCAGGCGCCGGCGCTCTTCACCCTCAACCTCACGTGCGGCAACCTGCTGTGCACCGTGCTCAACATGCCGCTCACGCTGGCCGGCGTCGTGGCGCAGCGGCCGCCCGCCGGGGAGCGCCTGTGCCGCCTGGCCGCCTTCCTCGACACCTTCCTGGCCACCAACTCCATGCTCAGCATGGCGGCGCTCAGCATCGACCGCTGGGTGGCCGTGGTCTTCCCGCTGAGCTACCGCGCCAAGATGCGCCTCCGCGACGCGGCGCTCATGGTGGCCTACACGTGGCTGCACGCGCTCGCCTTCCCGGCCGCCGCGCTCGCCCTGTCGTGGCTCGGCTTCCACCAGCTCTACGCGTCCTGCACGCTGTGCAGCCGGCGGCCCGACGAGCGCCTGCGCTTCGCCGTCTTCACCGGCGCCTTCCACGCGCTCAGCTTCCTGCTGTCCTTCGTCGTGCTCTGCTGCACGTACCTCAAGGTGCTCAAGGTGGCCCGCTTCCACTGCAAGCGCATCGACGTGATCACCATGCAGACGCTCGTGCTGCTCGTGGACATCCACCCCAGGTGAGCGCGCGCGCGGGGGGCGCGGGGGCGCGGGGGGCGCGGGAGGGCGCGCGCGGGGCCGGTCCCCACCGCGCGCTGCAGCCCGCGCGGCCCGGCCGGGCCCCTCCTGCGAGTCTCCCTTTCCCTTCGGAGAGCTGGGGGTGGGGGGAGCAGGTGCTCAGCGTGGGCCAGGCCAGGCCACCCCACAAAGCCGTGGGTGGAACAACGTCAATGCTTTGTGGAGCACCCGGGTAGAACTCAGAGGGGCGCTCCGGTGGTCTTGCACTTATTTGTCTGCAGTTTCACTTTGACACATGTGGGAAGAGAGTGATCTCGCAGCTGAAGGCTTGGAGGGTGTCCCCATGAGTCCCGGCGCCAGGTGGAGACAGCAGGGTCCTGCAGGGCTCCCCCGTGCTCTGCTGCCTGCACCGGCGCCTCTTGTCCTCCCAGCCTGGGGGTGGGTTGGGGGCCCGGAGTCCTCTCTGCATCTGCCTCCAGAGGCTTTCCTGCAAGCGTCTCCCTGCCCGTCCCTTGTCTCTGCCCTTTCCTCCCAGACTCGGAGCCCGGAGGCTCCTGCCGAGGGGAGTCACCCCAGAGGCTCCCGGGACAGCCTGCCGGCCGTCTCCCCACCCTTGGCTGCTGCGTCTCAAGAAGGCAGCCCCCTCCCCGGGACAGCCCCTGGACGCGGGTGCCTAGGGACACCTGCCGTCCCGGGAGTTCTCAGAGAGAAGGGGAATTCCTAGCTGCGTGCCCTGAGCTCACCTCAGCTTTCCGTGCGAGAGCAGGAGAGTGGGGAGGGAAGCGGTGCTGGCGTCTCTGTGGTCCGCTGCTTTATCGTCCCAGGGAAAGGCAGGCCCCTCTGCTGCCCGGGACCCTGGACCAAGGGCCATCGGCTTCCAGGTGACGCAGAAAGTGAGGCAGAGAGCAGGGATTTGGGGAGGCCAGGGACAGGGAGCTAGTTTGGTCCCTGGGGGTGAATGTCCCCCTTCCCCGGGAGAAGCACCTCAGCACGGACCGAGGTGTCAGTCTGAGCAACCTGAGTTCTTCCTGCCTGAGAGCAATGAAAAGCAAAGCCATGAACTTGACTGCGTGAGCACGCGGAAGGGCGGGCGAGCGTGGGTGCTCTGTCCCTGGAATTCATGCTGGACCCAGGCTTCCAGTCCAGAATCTTCCTCCTGGAATCATGACAACACATGTGCGTGAGTGACTGCAGCCCGTCAGTGCCCAGTGTGCACACGCAGGCGTATACAGGGGTGGGCTTCGTAAGTATGACCCCATGTGTTCCCCATAAACCACGTGCGCGGTCTCCGTGTGCACACGTCCCGGGTGGCATGGTTGGCGCTGGTGCAGACACGGCTGACTCACCGTGTGCCCCGGCTGCTCCGGTGTCGTTTGAGGACCTGCTCCGCAGCCACAGAGCAGCGCTGCCCCGCCCATCCCAGGTGTGGGGGGCCCACTCCTGAGAAGGTGCATCCCCGGCCCTGGGGCTGGGACGGCCCCAGAGGTTGCAGGGCGAGACTTTGGGACTCAGGAGCCCTGGCCTGCCTCCTCGGCTGTGGCTCTAGCAGCGGCGGAGGAGTGGAGTCGGGAAAGTGACCAGTTCCTATTTAGACCTGGACACACCCATCCTCTCCTCCAACCCCCGCGGAGGAGGACGGTGGCCACTTTTCAGCCCACTCAGGATGGAGGGCGTCTCCACTCCGGCCGCCTCCCACCCACCCCGGCCCAGGCCCACAGAAAGCCCCCGGGAGTCTTGGGGTGAGGCAACTGGCCTGCCTCCAGGCCCCTCAGGGGAGACCTTGGCCTCCTCCAGGTCTGGGTGCCTTGGGGTGGGCCTGCTCCCAGGGCCACAGGGCCTGCAGGGCGGAGGAGTAGCATCATTCTGCTCTGGGGAGAGGGGGGGCACCTGGGCCAGGGTCGCCCCAGCCAGGTCAGACCTGCCCCTCTGGCCTAGAGCTGACTGGAGGTGCTCAGCAGGGGTGCCCGCGACAACCTGTCCTGAGTGCACTTTCTTGATGGGGTGCCCCACACAGGAGGGCACCTGCTTCCTGACAGCCGATCAGCGCCCTCTCAGGGGGCTCCCCCAAGGGCTCTCAAGCCTTAGGCACTGAGGCTCCAGGAAGATCAGTCAAGTCTCCTGAGCCTGTTTGTTGCTGAGATTCGGGGTACATGGGGGTGCCAGTCCTGAGTCAGCAGAAGCCAGGCTTCTTGATCTAGCCCAGGGAGCCTGCCCAGGGACTTCCCCTGGGTGTCCTCACGGCCTCTTGGCTCCTTGTCCAGAGGGAGCTGCTTGGAGCTCCTGGGCCCAGGCGTGTGTCAGGAGTTTCCCACTGCTGCTGCTCTTTCTGCAGAGTCCTAGCGCCACCCCAAGGGCGGGGACCCCATGCTAATGAAATCAGGAATCCTGAGAGTCAGTCCCCCCTCCTGCCTTTCTGTGGGGCTTTCTTGAGCCCTATATTTGGAAAGCAATTTGGAAAGCCTACTCTTCACTACCCACCTGGTCCTCCAGCTGCTGGGTTCTGTTCCCCAAGCCCCTCTCACGGCCAGTTCTAGGCAGATCCCGTGCCCACCGACCCCTTCGGCTCTCCCATGATGTGGACAGCTGTGGGGAGCTCCATCATTGATGGGGCGGCCTGGCTCCCAGTCTCTCGGAGGGCCACCACCTGCACCACAGTTAACATCAGCAGGGCAGGTGTTGTGGGGCATCGTCATCCTGCGGCCGCGGCCCAGAGGCAGGCCAGCGCCGGCCTGGAGGGGTCAGCGTGGTGGCACAGCGGACGGACGACCTGCAGAGATGACCTCACTGTGCCCTTGATCTTACAGATGAGGCTCTCGGGAGGCTCAGGGAAGGGGGCGCACTTGCCCAGCGTGGCAGATCTCTAGTGTGGCTCCAGCCATGACTCACGCCCTTGCCTGCCCGAAGATTTGCGGCTGGGACAGTGTGCAGATGGGGGTCACAGAGGGCGCCACGAATACCTGCAAGCTCCAAACCCAGCTTGCTCGCTGTTACGTGTCAGGTGAAATGTGGCCTCCCCTCCTACCTTGAGAAGCAAGCATTTGGGGCACTGCATGAGGCCAGATTGCAATTTAGACTCCTCAGGCTGCATGGACCGGGCCGGGCATATATGCGGTGAGTGGGTCCCAGACACACGGCCCTACCCGCCACCCCCCAGGCTGTCCCTGCATGCGAGGGGCCTCCCCTGCATGCCACAGCACCTGCAGGTTGTGCACCCACAGCTCGTGCACAGGAGGCACCCTCAGGCCTCCTGCCCTGCATGCAGGTGGCACCGTCCGCAGGCTGTACCTGGGGAGACCCCTCACCTGGCCCCGAAAGAGGTCAGGAATCCCCAGTCCAGGCCCTAGAACGTGCTCCAGACTGGAGGCGGGGGCTCTGGGAGGCCACCTCTTAGCCCTGTGTACTTTTTATTCTAGGAAGCGAAGGGTGTGCCCCTCAATGTCCAGGGCCCAGGAGCAGGACCCCTGGGCCCATGTCCTGACCCCCAGATCCCAGCTCTTCTCAAGCACTGTCCACTTGCTCCCTTGTGTTTTGTTTCATGCCTCCACATGTGAGAGAACAAATGGCCCCTCCGGCTCCAGGCTGACCAGTCCTCGGGATCCTTGGAGACCCAAACCACACGTGTCGGGCATGGAGAGGGCTGGGGCTGCCTGGGCTGGTGACGTCTCGGCTGTTTCCACACTCTCCATGCCTCTGCCCTTACTGAAGCCCACTGGGGCCATCTCTCCCTCCTCGTGTCAGTGGTGGGCAGCCTCTTCCTTGGGCTCCAGGAGGCTCCTCACCGGGTCACAGTTCTGGGAGCCTCTCTGCTCCCCCACTTGCTTCCACTCTGGCCGGGTCACCTTGGGGGGACTTTGAGCCTCTGGCCTGTACACTGTGGGCTCTGTGAGGAGCCCGAGGATGCCAGTCTCCACTGCCGGGCCCAGAAATAGCTGGAGAATGTGTTTCTGTAGCTGAACCCAGCTGGCCCTCCGTCAGAGAATCCCTGGGAGGCAGCAGGGCCAGGGGGAAACACCCCAGATCATCGAGCTGGGAGACATGAAAAGTGAGGACTTGTGGCTCTGTTCTGACCCCCCTGGGGGAGCTCGGGCATGGCATCAATCTCTGACCCTCGCCTGCAAATAAGTAGCCTAAGCAAGGGGCTCCTTTTGGCACAGCTATGAAGGGGAAGTAGCAGCGAGTGTGACATGGTTGTGTTGCTCATTATGTCACCCCGGGAGCAGGTGCACTGCTCCTGTCCTGTTCCCACATGAAGCCAATAGCAGCGGAAGGGTGGCGCTGCCCCCGGGGCCGGGGCCTCCCCTGCCTTCCTCATTCGGGCCGAATCCTCTTTCACCTGCCAGATCCAGAGGCTGAGCCCTCACACCACTGGGAGGGCAGAGAGAAGGATCCAGTCTTTGCTTTTGGAGGAGAGCAGGGAAGGAACCAGCTGGTCCCTGAGTCAGAGCACCAGAGTTACCCAGTGCCAGCTCCACCTGCACCCCACTCTCCCCGTCTCGAGCCTCGGTTTCCCGGTGTATGAACTAGATCCAGAGCATGGCTGGGGCGCCACCCTCTGGCCTGTGGCTGTATTACACATGATACAGAGTCCGGCCAGCCTGGCCCAGGGCAGACACATGACCAGGCCCTGGGCATACACCCACCCCGACACCCACCCATGCCAGATGCCATTAAAACCAGGAAATGCCTCCACCAGGTGCCCGTAGGCCCAGAGAGGATCCCAGAGCCAGCTAAGGACCCAGACTCAAGCTCAGACTTGCCCTGGCACTGCCCTTGGTTGCGCCTCTCCCTTCCCTATCCCTCCCTCCCTCCCTGCTCCTCGCCCACCCCTCCCCTCTCCTTCCCATAAATGCACAGGACAGACAGGGAACTCTTGCAGGGCAGGAGCCCTGTGGTTTGGGGTAATGCTGAAAGAGGCCAGTTGTTGGGCAGCACGTGGTGAATAATCCTGCGCGGCACTGAGCGCTTCTGAGTCAGGCGCTGGCCTGCTGCTTGTCAGATGTTCAGATGTTCATCATTCCCATAGAACCCCATGGCACAGTATTCTTATTGCCCTCACTTTGAAATGAGCACACGATGCACAGAGTGGTTATGTAACTTGCGTAAGGCCACACAGCAATGACGTGGGGCAGCCTGGATTTGAACCCGGAGGTCTGGCTCTGGTGCCACGCGCTGAGCTCCAGGCCGGTGGGAGGCTTCCTGCCCAACACCTGGAGAGGCTTTTTTGGTCTGAGCTTCCAGGTTTGTAAGGCTCGCTTAGGAAATGTAATTTAGAACAGATTTCTGCTATCATCCCTTTTAAGGCATTCGCTTTAACATAATGATTGAGTTTTAATTTTCCTAAGATTTCGTAAATGGTGGCTTATTAATTTATACCACATATTAGGTGTTTTCTGGGTGTGAGACGAGCTTCTGCGAGCTCCCAAAGAAATGTCTCTGCAGAGCGCTTGCTGTTTAATTTTCCTTACTGCACAGAGCTTCGCAGGAACAAATGAAATTAATTCCCCATAGGTTTTTAGAGAGAAGGGGAGTGACCTTGACCATTCTGGCTTCCACAGTGTCCATTTCGTTCTTTAGAGACAGGACATGCCCCTGCTCATCCTGTGGAAGGCCGCTAACGCTTTCACCGGCATCTGCTTTCAATACTCCGCAGGGCCCATGTGTTTGGGGAAAGACCATCTGGGGGGCGGGGTGAGGGGGCTGTTGCTCCGGGGGAAATGGCTGGCCTCGCAGCCCCTCTGCAGGGACCCAGGTTCTTCCTGGAGGGAGGGGGGCTGAGGCAGCACCTCCCTCCTTGAGAGCTTGGTAGCTGAGTCATTTCTGCCTCTGCAGTAGTGGTAGCTCCAGTGACAGCTGTTATGAAATCCCCCTTGGGTAGATGAGGAGCCAATTCAGAGAGGTTGAGTGACTTCCCCGAGGCCACACAGCTGTGAGGACAGAGCTGGGATGGACACCTAAGGCAGAGCTCACTTACTCACCAGGTTGTCCAACAGGATCTGAGGAGTAGACATTGTCAGGGTCAAGGTTGGAGGAGGGACCAGCCACCAGCTTCTGGTGCCACCTGCATGAGTCATTCATATGAATTTGGGGCTCATTTTTAAGGGGGTGCCCAGATATTCTTCTCCTCTCCTGGGGGGTGTCCCATGATGGCGGGGACACCTGGCTCATGCCCCAAGTCTCCAGCATGTCACATATCAACTGTGCTGAGAATCTTTAATATTAAAACAGTCCTGTGCTGTAAGGAACATACAAGCATGCTATGCCCGGGGTGCCCTGGGGTGCCAGGAATGGAAAGGGCTCCTAGGATGCGAGACTTGCAGTTCTAAAATCAAGACTATCTCTAAACCAAGATGATTGAGTCCTCAGGGCTCCCAGACCACAGGGCAGGGACAAGCTTTCTCCCTATGCCTACTCGTGCCCTGAGCACAGAGCCAGGGGATGTGGATAGAAAACTCTGCAGCAGAGCAGGTGCCCGTGCAAAGTGAGCAGACTGAAGACTTCTTTTGCTGTGAGGACTTTGGCAGCTGCCCTCCAGCGCCTGCCCCGGCTGGGGTGATGGTGCCTGGTGCCCTTCTAGGAGCATGTGATGATGTGGCGAGTCAGGGCTCTCTGGCCTTTGGAGTCATCCAAAGTCCTGGAGTTTGGGCCCGTCATCACCTAGTGACCGGCTGCCCCAGCTTGCCCGAGGTGGGAGTGATGAGAGGTTCCCAAATGCTGGACTTTCCATTTTATTATTTTTTTAAAGATTTATTTATTTTTATACAAGAGCTGGGGTACAGGCCAGAGGCACAGGAGAGTGAGAGGATTCACCAGAGACAGAGCGGGGAACAGAACAGGCAGATGACCAAAATACACTGCTGAGGGGAGCAGCGGGCGCAACAGGAAAGGTCTGCCACTCCATGTGGGAATCTCCCTGACAGGCTGGGAATTGAACCCGCGCTGCAGAGGCTGCTGACAGCTTCACAGCGCTGCGCTCAACCCACTGCGCCACCAGGGAGGCCCCTGGACTTTCCATTTTAAAACTGGGACAGTCCCCGGCACTCCACCCAGGGACACACTGGTTACCCTGCCGCCGTCACTCAGCAGCTGTGTGATCTCGAGCAAGTTACTCCTTTGTGCTTCGGTCTCATCTGAAATAAACAAAGAGCTTCATGACACTGTTGCTGGAGTTTGGGCCTTGCTGGTTGCTCCTCATAAACCCAAACTCAAGAGACAGTGGCTGGTGGAAGGAAATCAGGTTTAATCAGGAGTCGGCAAACCTGTCCCAAGGGCCTCTCCCAAACTGGGGAGGGGCAGGCGCCGCTGTGGGGAGGACCAAGGAAGGGCCTGCGGGATTCCAGAGAAACGGGCAGGGATTCCGGGACCTGCAATCATGTCCATTGTCTTCCCAGCGCGGTCCTGGCGGGTCCGTCCTGCGCTGGGGGCATCTTCTCACCGTGGCAACGAGGCTGCGGCTTGGCCTTGTCTTACTTCTCCTCCGTCTTGGTCTCAGCTGGTTTTGCCTGGTTTTCTGGTTTTGTCAGCAAGAAAAGATGAGCAGGAGCAGAGCCAGGAGGAGCAGGGCCAGGACGAGGAGCTGGGGTCACCCGGCCAGTGAGTCAGTTTTCAGCTTGTAGCGATGTAGTGAGTATTAAATAAAGTCGGGTTTGTGACTCCCACCACAGTATCTAGACGGTCCATAGTAAAGACCCAAGAAAAATGGCTCTTGTTAGGATTAGTTGTTGTTAGGAGTTAGCAATACTAGTCACGAGCACTTCTGCAGCACGACGTGTTTGTGCCCAGCTCGCGCCACGGTGCCCAGCTCTCCCCGAGGCGGGAAGGCTCAAGCCCAGGGGGGATGCCGCACAAAATGCAGGGGCTTCAGCCCACGCGAGCATGGAATTGTCCGTCTGCAATGGAAAATCTGATGAGGAGGCGCTTCGGTTGAGTGTTAAGATGGTGGTTCTGGCGGAAGGGAGCGGGGGCGCCCCGGCATGGCAGGCTGCGTGTCTGCCCACGAGCAGTGGCCACTCCTGGTCTTCACTCAACCAACCGGCTGATGCTTGGAGCCAGGCACCTTCGCCCAGGCCTGGTTCTGCCACTTCCTGAGCTACTCTGTCCTTAATCTTCCTTCCTATTCATTTTCGAAATGATGTATCGTGCAAGTGGACAGCGGGAACGGCATCCACGCCGGCCTCTGCGTGGAGCAGGGGAAGCTTCTGGCCAGCGCCCTTCCTTGTCCAAAGGACCACGACAGACCACGTCTGACCCCAAGGTGGCGGGAAATGGGCGGCAAGAAGCTGACTCAGCTGGCAGGAGATGTCTGTTCTTGAAAAGCCCCAGAGCACAGCGGGGTCAGGAATGGGGTGTGGGGAGAGGCACAGGCTCAAGCTCCCAAGTCCCTCCTAGAACGTGCATCCCCCAGGGACTTGGCACCAGTTGGCTTTGCCCAGCTTGGTCTCTGAAGGAATCAAGTGGCTTCTGCAGCCACCTCAGAATGTGGTGTCTCTGGCCCCGGTAGGCCGAGGCTGCGATGGATGAAGCAGGCTGGGAGTGTGGGGGAGAGCAGGCCCAGGCCACCCTGCTCCTGCAGAGACCAGGCCGTCCCGGGGCAGATGGGCCAGCGCTGAATCCCCTGGACTGGGTTCAAATCTTGCCTCCACTTACCCACTGGGCAAATCATTGTGGCTCCATCGAGCTTGTGGTTTTCATTGTAAAGCAGGGCAGGTAGAAACTTACCTGGCGGGGAAAGCCCACCCAGCCGGTTAAATGCACCCAGAAGGATCAACTGTGGAGATCAGACTTAGACAAGTTAGGGAGTGTGGGCTCGGGGCTGCGCTTGGGGGGCATCTGTGAAGACTGCAGTTACTAATGGCGAGTCCCGTGCAGTTGCTCTCGGGCGCTGTGCTAACTGCTTTGTGTGCTCTGGGCATCAAGCGCGTTTTGTGCCTCTATGTGTTAGGCATTTAATTCTCAAACCAGCACTCCACTGCCTTTTATTATATTACTATCTCCATTTTATAGTCGAGGACCCTGAGGCTTAGCGATGTCACCAGGGCCCAAGGTCACACATGCAGCCAGGACCTGCCCTAGGGCCTCTCTGGCCCAGTTCCTAGACTTGAGGTCTCTGCTGTGACCACAAGCGGCAGCTTGCTGTGACCTGGGATGAGCGTCACCCTCTCCCCTTCCTGCAGCGTGCGGGAGCGCTGTCTGGAGGAGCAGAAGAGGAGGAGGCAGCGCGCCACCAAGAAGATCAGCACCTTCATAGGCACCTTCCTCGTGTGCTTCGCCCCATACGTGATCACCAGGTGAGCTGACCGCGGTGCGCGCGGGGGTGAGGGCTCAAAGCAGGGCCCATGTGATCTTGGGTAGTGCCAGCCTCACCATTTTTTTTAAGATTTATTTTTGTGCATTAATGCATACAAGAACTGGGGTGTAGTTCAGAGTGGGGTATAGGCCAGAGATGTGGAGGGTGAGAGGATTCACCAGAGACAGAGTGGGGAGTAGAACAGGCAGATTGACTGAAATACACTGTTGAGGGGAGCAGCGGGGAGGCAGGAGAGGTCTGCGCTTCATGTGGGTCAGCTCCCTGGCCGGGGTTTGAACTCCTGTCACAGTGGCTGGCGATAGCTTGATAGTGCTGAGACGCAACCCCTGTGCCACTAGGGAGGCCCAGCCTCACCTGTTCTCAGGTGGACTTGGCCATTTGGTGAGAAGGAGGGCTCATGCTTTATCTCTTTAACCTGGAAAGCTTTGGGGTTAGACTGAGAATTCCTTGCAAAAAAACTCCTGCTTGAATTCCCAATCATATCATTTAACCCTTTATCCTGGGCCCCACCCCTCAGAAGGCCCCAAAGAAAAGAAAAAGGGAGAAAAGACAGAAAAGCATCTGCTGTGGCATGTGTCCTAATGCTGGTGGAGGCCAGCCCCCTGGTGGGGCAGCCCCTGCCTGGACACTGGTCAGCTACAAGGGCCACAGGCCATCTGCACAGGGAGCAGGGAGCACGCTCTGTGTCCTGCCCCAGGGCCTGGGGACTTCCACCGCTAGAGCAGGCAGTGTGGGCTTGACCCGCCCCTCCGGATCCCCATCACCTCTCCCATCCATCAAGATCCCGTGCTGGCTCAGGGCTGTGCCTTCCAAAAGCCAGCTTCCTCGAGCGACAGCATCTCACCCACGTGTTAGCCAGAAAAGGATACCTCTCGGTCAGCGAGGTGGACTGGAGGGAGAAGAAAAAAACCCCAGAGTCTGTGTCCAGAATGCCTTAGCTGGGCAGTGGATAATAAAAAGGGACTTGGATGTCTTGCTGGGAGCAGATGTCGAGCCTAGAAAGAAGGATCTGTGCAGGGGTGAGTGTGTGTGTGTGTGTGTGTGTGTGAGAGAGAGAGAGAAAGAGAGAGAGAGAGAGAGAGAGATGGGGAAGGGCACCGCCCATCACCCCAGCACCCCCAGCATCCTCAGCTGGCAGGGACCCCACCTCACTGCCCCCTGGAGTGGGCTTGCAGCCCCCCCCCCGGAGGAGCCCCCGTGGACATCTCCATGTCCGTCTCTACACTGAGCTTCAGCTTAGCTTCCCCACAACTCCATCTTCTCCTTTCCAGATGTTCCACCTGGAGAATCTTCCTCTCTTTTCTGTGGCACCCCGTTTCCTCTGGAGAGATCCAGTGGGCCTGCTTTAAACATAGGAAAGTGTACAATCATCAAGTCTTCCTTCTAGAACTTTCCACCAGACCTTGACATTTTGTGTGGGATCTTTCTCCCTGGAGGGGCTGCTCTGCATTGTAGGATGGTAGCAGATCCCCCGTCTTCTACCCAGTACCCACAGTAGCACCCCCTCCACCCGATCCCCGTTTCGGACAATTGAAAATGTCTCCAGACTTTGCTAAATATTCCCTGGGGACTGGAGTTTCCTCTGGCTGGAAATCCCTGGTCCAGATACACCACACCCAGCCACCCTGTGTGATCAGGGTTTCCAAGGGTCACTAAGCCCAGGTGCAGGGACAGAGGCGGGAACCCCCACTGCTGTCTGAGGGCACACAGCAGCGTGGTTATCAGCAGGGGCTGTGGAGTGTGCCCTGGGGTCTGACCAGCTCTCCTCCTCCTGCTGTGTGACCTCGGGCCAGTGGCTTCACCTTCTCCGGGTCCCCAGCCTCTTATCTGTAGGCCAGAAGCCAGCAGAGCCTGCCTGTCAGGGCGGTGTGAGGCTGAAGGGTCTTGAGTCTGTAGGACATGCGGGTGCAGGTGACGTCTGTGATCAGCATCCCCCCGCAGTGCCTGACCCAGGTCCGGCTGGTGCTTGAGGTGAATACCCTGGAAGGGAGGCACACAGCCACACCCCCCTCAGAGGCACAGAAAAGGGGACCTGTGGGCGAATGAGAACTGAATCCTCAGAGGAGAATAGGTAATAGGCTCCACCTTTAAGCTATTGGATTTTTTCTCTGGCTTAATCTCATTTCCCGGCAAAATTTTCCTTTTTTTCTGATGCTAGCTTGGTTCCCGCTCATGGTACCCAGAAAATAATGTTTCAGTAAAATTGATGGTCAATTCATAACTCAATTATGTTCCCTCCAAATGGAGTTGATGTATTTTGAGTTTTTAAAAACATTTGGCATTTATGGGGACGGATGGCAACTTACTGAGGAGAAAGAGCTATACCCAGTAAAGCCCTTAAATCCGGAGCACGGATCTGGGGGGCTGCCCCCCCCAACAGAGGCCGCCAGCTCCTATCCGGCTTTCTCAGAGACAGGAAGGCGCCATCCTTAGCAAACGTCATGGAACACACACACCCTCACTTCAGCACACATCTCTCTAGCACCTGTTCTAGGCAGAGCATAAAAGAGACACTGCAGAGGAGGTGCGGGCCCGTGAGGTGGTCCAGGACCTCCCTGCTGAGGGGGGCTAGGCAGTCACTGCCCTCGGACCTGGAAGGAGCAGCCACATGAGCCAATAGGGACGGGGGCATGAGGGTGCCAAGCAGGAGCGAGCTCCCCCCCCCCCCGCTGAGCTCATGGTCCAGGCTTGTGAAGTGGTCTGGCTAAGCAGGGGGACAATCCAAGCAGGAGGGACCCCAGGAGGCCTAGAGCCCCTGCCCCATGGAGGCCTCGCCCCGGTGGCTTTGGGGCACTTGAACATCACCCGTGCACCTCGAGCTGTGTTGCAGAGTTGAAATATAACTGGATTTCTAAGACTTCGCATGACAAAAAGTACATATATTATTAAAAGTTACTAATTATATATAATTGTAATGAATAATCTTGGCAGTTCTGGTGTGGAATGGTGCTATCTTGGATATAGTAGATTAAATAAAATATAGAATAAAATATAAAATTAAATATAGAATTAAACTGCCGTGGTCCTGCCTCCCAGGACACATTAACTTGCTCACATTGTCTTCTGGACCTTACGGCGCCCCCAAGAGGTGGGCCAGGCAAGTGTGTGAACTGCACTTGCAGATGGGGAAACTGAGGCTCAGCGGGGCAGGGTTTGCACAGGGTCATCCGGCTAGTAAGGCACAGGGGGCCGGCAGCCTGAGCCCCTTGACAGCCTCTGCGGAGGCAGCTCACTGCCCGCTTCCTGCCCGTGGAAAGGAGAGGCAAAGCCCCCGGGGCGACCCCAGGCTGATCTTACGGGTTCAGAGAAAGGACACGCTCTGGCCCTTTTGTTCAGGAATCTCCTTTCTTCTTTAACCCTCTAAGGCCCTACTCTGTGCCTGACGCTGTACACCCTCTGCACCGGGGTGATCTCCTCACCTTCAGGATGAGGAAGCTGAGGCAGGGCCAGGGTCCAGCCTCCCCTGGGCCAGCTACTGACTCAGCCAGGCCGGACTGCCTGGCCCCATGGGCTGAGGGTGCCCCGTGTACACCGTGCGGCTCTGCAGGTCCCCTGAGCTGAGAGCAGGAAGCCTCCTGCTTCCCCCAGGAGGATGCGGGGTGGCACTTGGTGCCCACTCAGCACGGAAGGTGACAGCTTCCAGGATGATTGAGCCCAAGTTGCTGGAGTGTCATTTAAACCTCTCATCGAGCTGTCAGCGCAGAAACCAACATCCTACACCCCCATCCTGCGTCTAGCAGGCAGCCCGCCCTGCAGCTACCCCCCTGGTTTGAGCCTCAGGAGTGGAGGCATGTCAGGAGTGTGGGGGAGCCTCAGGGCCCCTGGGAACATGGGGAGCTGCAGCTTCAGCAAACCGGGGAAGAGGAAGGCTCCACGGTCACAGCTGCTGCAGATCCCGCTGGCTGTATGGGCCCCTCCCCTGTCCCCCTCTGCTGGCCTCTGCCTGGCCACCTTCTCAGACAGTGAAGCCTCATTCCTGGGTCACGAGCCACCCAAAGCTCGCGATAGCTGTTCTGGCTTCTCTTGTCGGAGGGCATGGAATCTTTCCACCTACCCTGTCCCTCGTGGACACCTGGGCACACCTGGGAAGGGGCTGGAGACCTGCTCAGCTCTCCTGCCAGGTAGGTGCTGGGGTCCTCATCCCCCAGAGGTGCAGAGAGGGGAGATGGGGTGCCCAAGGGCAGGTGAGCAGTGCCGGGCGCAGTCATGGGTGGAGAGTGGCGTCGAGCTTGCTGTGGGTGGTGCAACCTCAGGGTCCCGTCACACCCCCAAAGCAGGGCGGGGCAGCCCCGGGAATGCGAAGATGCCATCTGCCGGGCTTTGATACGGCTTCTCACGCAAGCATCTTAGCGTCAGCCCAGACATGGGTCCAGATGCCTGGGGTAGGGGCGGGGGTCCTTCTCTCCAGGCGTGCCAGCTTGGCATTGGGCTCGCTCCCCACTGCCGCCGGCAACTGTGAGAGCAGGAGGGGCACAGCGCTGGCTCTGGACAAGTCCCCTGAGAGAGACAGCCCCCCAGAGGCACCATCACGGAGGGCCTCACCTGCAGCTGGCGCGGTCACCTGGCGGCTGCGGGAGCCGTGTTTGGAAGCCTCCCCCTCACTCAAGAGAAGCCGCTGCCTTCTGTTCACACAACCGCGGGCTCCCCTGTCCCCAGGCCCTGGGGCACATCTGGTGAATTCCAGAGTGTTTCAGAGCAGGGTCTGATGAGACCAGCCTCAGCTTCTCCTCCAAAACTCTCATTAAGCATTTTCTGAATTAAAATTCACACATCTACAAGCATGTGTGAGGCTGTCATCTCCGCCGCAGCTTACAAGTGACTGTGGTTGTCCCAGATCATCGGAGCAAGGCTCTGAGGCGTCTGGGGGACCTGGCAGCATCATTATGGTGACTTTGAAGTCATGGAATGATGGGGATGGCAGAGGAGCTTAATGGGCAGGTGGCTCTCCGTGTTCATCGTCTATTAATAAAAGTGTCTTTTCCATTCTATCGTTCACGGACCTGTGAAGAGCCAGCTTACCACCCGCAGGTTTTCAAATACGGAGACTGAGTTCTCTGGAAGTCTTGGGACACATCGGGCAGGCTTCCCAAAGAATGTTGGGTGGCCCAGGTGATATTTGATGCACGGTGTGTGTGTGTGTGTGTGTGTGTGTGAGGGGGAGGGAGCTGGAGAGGGGAGAGAGCTGGTGCTGGCACAGGAGTTGGAAGCAGAAGGCCCCACTTTCACTTCGGAGCTGGGCCAGGACCTGGCCTGTGCCTGGGAGCCGGGTCCAGGAGGGGGACGGCAGCCCGCACTGGGAAGGGACTTGGATGCTGGTGTCCGCAGCCCAGGGCTCAACTCCTGCTTCTTCCACCTCCGGCCCGCGTGGCCTCGGGACAGCTCACGCCGGAGGCGCCGGTACATCGGAGAGCTCGGCGCGGGCGCTTGAGGTGTGTGTGAAGCGGTTGTCAGGCCCACGCCCCCGTGGGACCAGGGGAGACACGGGGTGTAGGACGGCTGGTATGGCCCATCCTGTGTTCACCCCAGGACTGTTTCCTCGGGGGCTCACTGCCAGCAGGGCGAGACATCATTTTCTTCAGAGGTTCAGAGAATGCCTCGAGCTCTAGGAGTGCGCTGCTTCCTCCCTCCAGAGACTCGGAGTGCAGGCTGCTGGGTGGGGGCGAGAGGTCCCTGAGGGTGAGGGGTGGCAAGGGGCCCAGCTTCTTGGCCTCCTCAGGCCTCTGCTGAGAAGCCGAACGAAGCAGGGGCCTGCCAGGGCCCCAGGTCAGAGGGCTCCCTGCCACCAGAAAGGAAGGGCCTTCCAGGGCACTCCCCGTAACAAACCTCAGAGCAAAGGGGTGCAGAGGTGGGGCCAGGCCAGCGGAGATGCGGGGGTAGCCTGCTCTGTCTCAGCCTGAGTCAGAAAGGTACACAGCTGGCCGCCCCAGAGCACATCTGCTCCGCGCTTCCCCTTTCACGACAGCAGCACGCTGTGGCCCCATTCACGCAGACCTTGTCTTTACTGTGCAGAGAGCCTATTCCCAGTAAGTCCTGCTCTGAGATGGGGAGGTAGGAGTCCAGCATATGAATCCAGGGGCTGCAATGCAGCCACAACAGGGCTCTGGCGAAAGGAAATAGAGTCCCGCCTCATGAACCCCAACCCCTAAGTGCAGGGCTCCTGGCTCAGAGCTGGGCTGGGGCAGGGCAGCGGAGCCCAGCAAACCACACCACCAGTGTGGCGCCCCATTAGACAGAATGCCTGCCCGGGGCTGGTCACACCAGTGCCCCATGCGAGCAGGGAGGGCCTGGGGGAGCAGAGCTAGACTCAGCAGGACAGGTGGGCTGGAGCCTCTCCCTCCGTGGTCCTCTGGAAGGGAATGTGGCCATCCAAACGCTGCCCAGGCCTGGAAGCACAAGGTAGCAGTTGCGGCATTCTGGGAATCCTGGCCCCCTCTGAGTCCCCTTCAACGTGTGGGGACTTGGCACTGCCAGAGCTGGGACGGGGCATTGCTGGCCACAGCGGACGCAAGAGGGCTGAGGGCCTGTGCACCTGGGAAAGGTGGGCAGGGCTCAGCTGGCCGCATCTAAACATGAAGGGGCACCCCAGCTGCCGCCTGGCCTGGCAGCCCGTCTGAAGCAGTGTCAGGCAGGTTCCCCCTCGAGGCATCTCTCTCCCAAGGCGCTTCTCAAAACAGAAGCCTATTGTACCATGGACAAGGGCGAGTGACAAAGGTCTGGGCACTGGCAGGGACTGGCAGGGACCAGGGCACCCTGGCAGCCCTGGTCAGGACCTGGGTGGCACTGCGTTGCTGCGGAGAAGCCCCTCCAACTCCTCATCTGTAAAATGGGAGTAACGGCATCCCCCTGCGCGTGCTGCAGGGTCAGAGAGCGTGCGTGTGGGGTAGTCGGCGAAGGAGACACAGCTGGGCTCATTGACCCTGAGCCAGGGGAGTCCAGACTGTCCATGAAATCTCTGGGCTAGAGATGCGATAGACTTCACCTCTTAATTATCTAAGTAGTGAAATTTTATTTTGTGAAATCTACAGAAACTGCAAAACAATCATTTTGATCTCGCTTAATGGCTTGAAGATATTTGGCTCTTTCCATAAATCCTCTCAGGGAAGCGCACATGTGAAGACAGAGCTTAGCAGCGCACGGGCGGCGAGACGTTTTGGAAAAGCAATTTGGCTTCACATAACAGCGACGTGTTGGCATTCAGCGAGTCATTGTTATTATTAGGTGTGAAAGCTAAATTTGGGAGGAGGAGTTGTCCCCTTAAATTCATCACGTCCCAGAATAGATTTAATAGCAGAGACTTCTCGGGTGTGACCCCTTCTGGGCCTCCACTCAGGCTCCCCAGGGCAAGCACAGGGCAGAGGGCAGGGGCCGGTGGGTGCTGGCAGTGGGAAGCCGTGTCCGGGGCCCCAGCAGGGTTTCATGAAGGACCTCCTGGAAGAGGGGCCTGCCGTGGAGACCCCAAGCCCCTCCTCTTCTCCCTGGGCTTATGCTCTCAAACCTCAGCCCAAGGAAGCCTTCAAGGGACACATGAGCGCTGGCCGAGGCTCTGCCCGAGCTGAGTGAGATCCAGGGAGGCTCCATCCTCTCTGTACCAGGCTCCTCTGGGATAGCCCACCCACCATGGGGCCATGTGCCTCTCCTGCAGGGAGAATACAGGGGCCAGTGCCCGGTCAGGGCACAGGGAAGCTGGACTTTCTCTCCCTGCTGACTTGCTGTGTGGTGCTGGGAACCACCCCCAACCCCCTGCCGGGCCTCGGTTTCCTTATGTGACAGCAGACAAGGAGAACGTGGCTTATGACCTCTAAGCTGTCTCCCAGCTCTGTGTGTCATTCCTACTCAGGTTAATGTGAATATGGCCCGGTATGGCCAGGGGTGCTGGAGACCTGAATACGTGGCTTGACTTGGGGTGGATGCCAATCACACAGCGTGGGGCTTTGACTACCATGGCTTGGCACTGGCACCATTGAATGGGGCTGTGTCTGGTACCAGAAGGATGCCGAGAATCATGCCCCTTTGACCCAAAGTCAGCACTTGCCCCCACCCCCTCCCAAAGACCAAAGGTCACCTGGAGGGTCCCCACCTATTGCTATTGTCCAGGGTCACCCGAATCCAGCTCTGGGAGGAGGCCTTCCTCGGCAGCAGACTCTTCCCGATGGAAGTCATACTTCGAGTTTGCAGCATGCTCACCACACCACAGTCAGCCCTTCCTCGCAGGCACCCCGCAGAGGGCAGAGCCAGGGCTTGAAGCACAGGACCGGGCCCTCGTAGTTGCAGCGACCGTAGTCACGACCTGCTCAACGCCTCGTTTCTCACGTACAATGTGCAGGCCCATGGTCGGGGGCCGTCTTGTCCTGGGTCACACGCAGGTCAGCAGCAGAGGGGGAGCCTCAGGCCAGGACAACTAGCTGTGAGCCCATTTCTTAGACGGGTGGTTTCCAGAGTCAGACAGATCTGGGTTCAAATCCTGCCTCTATAGTTGACTGGCGGAGCGACCTTGGGCAGATTACTTATCGTCCTTGGACATCCACTTCCTGACAGGTAAGGTGATGAGACCACCGCCCACGGAGCTCTCCAGGAAATCCCTGGTGCAAAGTACTTAGCACAGGACCCAGAATACAAGTGCCTGGTGAAATGTCCATTGTCAGGATTGCTGTGGTGGTAGATGGTGGTGGTTGTCATGGTTACTGAAGGCCTCTGGGGAAACAGGCTTGGCCCGGAAGCCGGGTGGGGGTGGGGATGGGGCCGTGCTCCTGTCAAGACCTTCCTCTCTCCGCAGGCTGGTGGAGCTGTCCTCAGTGCCCATCAGCTCCCACTGGGGGGTGCTGTCCAAGTGTTTGGCCTACAGCAAGGCCGCCTCCGACCCCTTCGTGTACTCCCTGCTGCGACACCAGTACCGCAAAAGCTGCAAAGAGATTCTGAACCGGATCCTGCACCGGCGCTCCCTCCACTCCTCAGGCCTCACAGGGGACTCCCACAGCCAGAACATTCTGCCGGTGTCTGAGTGAAGCCCCCGCTCCTGCTGGAGGGTTTGGAGAGAGACAGCTGGTGAGAAGAGGGGAGGGCGGGCTGGGGGCTCCCGGGTACGCCGCCCACCTGGCACGCCCAGAGGTGGGCCCCCGGCTGGTGAACTGTGAAGCCTGCTTCCCGGCCCCTCCAGGCAGAGGCTGGACTGTCCCTGTGAACCATCGCGGGGCACGCTCTGGCTATTCCTCCTGAGAAGCTCCGATGAGGTCCTTGACCCACCAGAGGCTCCCGGGATGACACTCTGTGCTGTCTTGATCAGGGACGCAGTGCTGGTGGCAGGTTGGGGAGCATGGGGGCCTCCTGGCTGCTCCCCCCTGGACCCTGGACTTCGGGCACCATACTGAAGAGAGCGGTGGCCTTTCTTCCAGGGACGTCACTCAGCTGCCAGGGAGGCTGGCGAGGCCGTGTGTCCCGTCACACCTGGCCTGGCTGGTCTGTTCCACGTGGTCACAGTGGCTGCTCGAACCCCAACATTAAGCTGGCACTAAGGAGACCGCGCAGCGGGGACTCCCGGGCCAGCATCCTCGGGCAGAATGTTTAACGACTAGCAGCTGCCCAGTTGTTGCCGACCCGTTGTCTTAGAAATGGTTATATTGGATTCTACTTTTGTCCTGTTCCCCACCCCTCCCAAAGCTGACATCGTGTGTATGGACAAGCTTAGCATGAAAATGGTTTGGACAGGCAGGTCCATGTGCGAATGTACAAGCGTTCTTGGAAGTCTGACCTTGAAGTCACCTTCTGGTTTACACACCATCAGGGCTGGAGCCAAGGAGAGGCAGGAGAAGGTGCCTGGCTGCACACCCCCCCCCCCACACACACACCTGTGGCCTGCATTGGCAGGAAGTGTCCTGCCTTCACTGCACATCTTGTCCGGCACCTCCTCTGAGGTGACTGGATGAGAACTGAGCTTTGCAGGGGTTAGCTTTGATTTTAGGGCGCTGGAGTGCGCCATATCCTAGTTTCCGCAGGTCTGTCGGCAGTTCGTGGAGGCTGTCCGGGGATGAGATGGCGCCTGTGGGAAGCTGCACGCGCATATCCATGCCCACCCGCCAGGGGCCTCATGATCGACTAAAACCCAAGGTGCGGGGACCGAGCTTTCTGCCCTTCCCGCCTCTGTTTGCCATTTCAAATGGTATAACTCTCAGAGCAGGTTCTTCTCAAGCCGCTAAGGAAAGAGCAACAGATTCAGATAGCTCATCCCTCCCAGCTCCATGCACCCGAATTTTGGGGCACAGAAGAGTGGCCACAGCCCCACAGGGACCCGTTGGAGAGCCGGTCGGTCCTCACCGCCATGTTGCCGGTGTAGGAAGGCGGGAAGTGCTGAGCGTGTGTGAAAAGACGTCCTTGCACTAGCCTCAGCCCCTCGTCTAGAAAGCAAGGACCTGGGCCTGGATTGGGCTTCTGTCGCTTCAAGGTTTCCATGGAGACCAGAACAGGGACAGATGGAGCTTCTAAGGTCTCAACACCTTCCCGCTGCGGGTGGAGGCTCGCACCTGCTTGGAGAAGCTAGAGGGGGTGCTTTCCCTCCCATTTCCGTGTGCAGGGACATCACGTTGGCAGCCTGAAGTCAGCCATGGTGGGCATATTAGTACCAAGAAAATGAGCAAATGCTACAAATCGGGCCTTTCTGCACTAGACGGCCAGCAGACCCTACCTGGCAGGTCTTGTGTGTTTCTAGAAATGAAATGGCTTGACTCAGTTGAGTTGCACTTGCCACTCAAGTCTGAACAGCAGACCCTCATTTTTGTGGTGCTTTCCTGGTGACAAGCAGCTGCTCCACCTTTGTTTTCCCAAACCCCAAGTACCAGAGGCTGAAAATAAGCCTGGAGCCAAGAGGACGTGTGCCGTGGGATCTGGGAGGGCGCCTCCCTCGAACCTGGGCGGAAGGGGAGCAGGGGCCCGGCCGGGGGGTGGTGGTCAGTGGACAGTCACATTCAGTAGCAAATGCATCTTCAGGTTGATGAAGGACTGTCAAATCCCACTCCTGCCCTGTTTACCGGCAGCAGATGATACTCCCAGAAACAACTAGATCCCCTTTTGCCTCTTCTCTAGCGAAGCCACGTGATCTGTCACCCACCACGCCGTGTATCTTGAAAAGATGCATTTCGTCATTTCACTCAATCTGTATTACTGCAAAAATGCCAATAAACCAGTTGTGTGGACACGGCGTGGACTCGACCCCGGCTGCGGGAGCGGGTGGGCTCACTAGGGTTTGGGCGGCCACACCCGGGGCCAGCGAGAACCTCCTCATTAGTGATTAGCACCCATCGACTCTTCCTAATTACCGCTAATGCATGCCTGTATTTATGGCTACGGCCTCTAAAGCTTCCCCCCAGCGAATTATCTACCTCATGTGGTCATCTATCAAGTGTAACATGGTTTTCTCAGGTAACGACGTAGGAGCCGCAGCTCACACGCGGTCAGGGCCTGGCTTGCTTGTTTGGCTTCAGTCTGGCACAGGCTGGCTGTTGGGGGCCAAGCCCGGGTGCACAGCTGGATTAGGCAAAGCACTTTTAGAGGCTTGAACATTAAGCCAGGAAAGGAGAGGCATTGAGTTCTCAAACCCACACACAGGCAGTTTCGAGCCCTCTGTGATGGACATTTCGGCCCAGCCTGTGCTGCCTTTTTGTTCACTTCTGCTTCTTAAAGGAGGGGGTTCTGAGCCCCGGGACCCACTAAGGGACGGTCCTCTTGGGTGAGTGTCGCTGCACCTGGGGTTTGTATGGCGAGGATTTCACTCCCCTGCTGCCTGTTTTCACTTAGAAGCCGGTGGGGGAAGGTGGAGGCTGATGAGTCATCTCGTACCAACTGCTCCTCCTTGGAGGACTCGGTTCAGCCTCTGTGACCGTGAGCAATAAACCCCTCTCCTCCTGCTTGTGAAATTACTTTTCTTTTTCATGGTGCCTTTCTTTCTGGGAGAAGATGGAAGAGCAGGCCGCGTCCATGTCCTGGCCACCCTCTCCAGCGCGGGTGCAGGGAGGCAACGCCTGGCTGCCTGTGGCGTCCGGAGCCTCAGCTGTGCAGCTTTAGAGCTGAGCCCAGCGCAGGATAAGTGGATCTGCCTGTGATTTTATTATGAGGACATTTGATCAGAAATGCCTCAGCTCGGCCAGGACCTTTGAACTGCAAGCCCTGGGGGGAAGTGAGGGGTCCTGGATGTATTTTGGGGCTCTCACTACTTTCTGGGTAGTCTGAAGCCTCTGGGATGGAGCCACTGGCCCTTGAACTCACCTGTCGCCAAGAATCACTGGGGAGGGTGTTTAAAACGCAGATTCCCGCGCACCCTCCTTAGAGGTGGGGCAGGGATGCTGCATTTCAAACATTCGTGCCCTGGGCTGTTGTGGGTGGTCTTCAAGGGACTCCCTGAGGACACAGGGAGGCAGAGGCCTGGAAAACCTGACAAAACTTTCAAGATAGCAGGGTTTCCACTGCCTGCCTAATTCTCCACATAATTCAGTCTCCAGCTCAGCCAAGGGCTGAGTCATTTTGCTCTCGGAGGGACAGAGCTGAAGCCTGCATGAGACTCTACAACCTTCTGTTTTCAGAAGAATCCGGTGGAACAACAGGAGCTGCCCAGCCTCCTCTGAAGGCATCTGTGCAAGGCCAGCTCCCTCTCAGCTGCTTGAGATGTGTTGGGTGCTGGCAGAGGTGGCGCCTGGACTTAGTTCGAGAACCACAGGCTTGGTGCTCAGAGGGCCCCTCGACTCTCCGGGGCAGCCTGGCTGTGGGAGGTGATGGGGTCCGGCCCCTCTGCCACTAACCTCCCAGCTGCAGACACAGGGAAGGCCGGGCTGAGGAAGTTGGTCTGGATGCCAGAGCCTGGCTGTGGTCTCCCGTTGGGCCCCAGGAGCAGCTCATGATCATGAGTCCTCACAGCTGGGGTGCGAGTGGAGGCCCGGCTTGGGTGCCCTGGAGGGCGGGGGGGGTGTTTCCATAAATCCTCCGAGTGACCCAGTGATGATGGCATGTCTGTTGTCTCCACTTGGCGGAGCCGGGACGATCGGCAGGTCCGAAGCAGCAGACAGAGAAGCTCAAGAGGCAACAGGAAACCTGGCGGTGGTCTCAAGCTGGGGCGCTGGTACCAACGGGGAAAGCCATCACCTTCACCCAACTCTAGGCCGTTCGGGCACAGCGGGGGTCTCTTCATCATCTGTGGAGCCCCAGGGCCTTGGGTCCCAGTAACACCACACCCCAGTGGGGCCTTGGGTTCCCTCCACTGGTGGGAAAGGACTCCTCTGGACTTCTCTTTCTATGATATGTTTCTAGGGGGACTCTGGGGGAGACACTGAGCAGCAGCCCCTGTACCCATAACTTATGGTTCCCAAGCCTTTCCCCACCCGGGCAGTCTATCGGACTCCTTTGACAACCCAAAAGTTGTGGAATTTCAGCGTCACACACTCACGAGCATCCGTAGAGCGTGGTCCTTCCCTGGCCTGCCCTGCACCAGGAGGACTTCCAGGAAGGACTGGGTTGCGCAGGAGCAGGGCTGAGTCTTAGCAACATGGCTGAAGGGAGGGAGTGAGGGAGGAAGTATTGTACTTATTTGGAGGAACCGGAACCGGAGATGTGGGGGGGACTCTTAGCACATCATTAAGGAACCAAGTAGAGTGCACCAGCAAGCATCCCCTGGGGCGCCTCAGAGTGGGAGCCAGGGTCTGTCCAGTAGGGAGTGGGCACGTTCAGGGGCCACGCAGGGTCCTCACGGCAACACCCCACTCCCCTGGCACAGATGGAGGAATGCCCCATGTTCATCCCGTTATGCTCACACCGCATAGCAATCCCTGGGCCCTACCCCCACAGCCAGCTCCTGCCTTGGCCGCTTGCTCTCAGTGAGGCTTGTGGGTACGGACCTAGCATTTAAAAGGCAAACATTGTGAATCTGGTCCATCTTAGCCACACGGTTGTTGGTCGTAGGCCCACATTTAAGGGCTTTCAAAATAATTTAGATCGTTGACCCAAAAGCTGGTCCTTCAGCAGCACCGTGGAGAATACCTGAGCCCACAGGCCATTTTCCCCGTCCTTT